GCTGCAAATCCCCGTACCCTAAAAGGCAAGAACAAAAATCTCCTGCCTCTGTTCTGGCAATCAAACAAAAAGGCTTGGGTGACAGCAGCATTATTTCTGGATTAGTTCCACAAGTGTTTCATTCCGGAGGTCAAGCGGTACCTCGAAGAGAAAGGACTTGATTTTAAAGTGTTGCTGATCGTAGACAATGCTCCTGGCCAACCTGAGGCACTCCAGTTTGCCCATAACGACGTTGAAGTTGTCTTTCTCCTCCCAATACCACCTCCATCCTCCAACCTCTCGACCAAGGCGTGATTTGCTGTTTCAAGGCCACGTACACGAGGCTCACGTTCTCACGGATACGTAGCGCTATGGATGCTGAACCCAATCTTAATGTGATGGGGTGTTGGAAATCCTTCAACTTTGCCGATTGCATCACTTATATTAAACAGGCAATAGATGCAATCAAGCCTGAAACAGTCAATGCATGTTGGTGAAACCTATGGAAAGAATGTGTGAATGATTTTAAGGGTTTCCCGACCATTGACAAAGAAGTGAAATGGATTGTTCAGGTGGCCAGGCAAGTGGGTGGTGATGGCTTTGTCGATATCTTTGAGGAAGAAATTGAAGAATTAATTGTGGGCCACAGAGAAACAATGACTAATGAAGAGTTAGAGGAACTGATAAAATCGTCTACAGAAGATGAGATGATGACAACTAACAGGAAGAGCCAGCAAGTTGGAATTTTCATAAAATTGCTGAAGTGTTCCAAGCAGCGAAACACTTCAATGATTTAATTTCTGAATACGATCCCTCTATGGAATGAAGCCTCAAAATCACACATAGTATTACGGATGATTTGAGACCGCATCAAGAAATGTTTGAGCAGCTCAAGAGGCAACAGCGACAGTTGCTGATCACCATGTTTTTCAAGAAAAAACAACCACCAGCAGATAAGCCTAAGCAATCAACTTCTCAAGCTGAACCAGAGCCAACCACTTTGTCTACAACTCGCTCTCCATCACCCAAGCTCTCCGTCACCTCCGTCTCCTGGATCAACATCAAGCCCTGACAACCCCCCAGTAGTGTTGTCAGGGGAAGAGGAAGACTAATAATCGGAGAGTGTACAGCGCCCATCTTCATCATCTCATCGTGCATCATATGGGTGCTGTACTAATCATCATCGTCATCATTCATCATCGTCACACGACCATTGTCATAGTTGTCGTATCACCATTATCATCGTCATAGAGTAGCAAGAATATCCAGGATGAATGGTGAGTGTTTAGGTTTACTGTTTTTCTTTTTTATTCTTTCATTCTTCCGTCTATCTTTCTCTCTCTATGTAATTAAAAATACTGTAAAATTATATTTTGCACATGTATTCTTTATTATATACTGTACATTACTGTATACATTATACATTTATACATATTACTGTTCAGAGTTGTACAGTATACGCAAAACCATGTACAGTTTACTGTACTTATTCGCGATTTAAGGGATTTTCAAAGGTAATTTTGACTATACGTGATTTTCGCTTTATGCGCTGACTTCAGAACCTAACCCCCGGATAAGATGCGACTCCATTGTAGACAGTAAGGGGTCTTATTTGGACAATATAGAGATCAGAAAAGATGTAACTGAAACAAGGCAAGGTTACTATTCTTTCAGGAGCAATATTCTGGCAATATACAAAGTAATAAGGGATGTTGATCCCATTTCTATATTTTTCAGTGGGCCAATACATTTTCTAGGCAGTTGCCCTGTTAAAGACTCATAAAGCATTCTGTAGTGGTTGAGACGAAAGCATTCATGTCAAACACGAAGGACCAAATGTTGATTTCAGAGCACGTGTGACTTACTATATATTATATATTAAAACAAAATATGATATAAGCTGTTGCTTTCTGATATACAGAGCTCTGATGGTGACTCTTGTTCTGCTGACAGACCACTCTTTTGATGGGTTTGTAGATGATTATAGTTTTTTGTCCTCCACTATTGAGGAGGTGGATCCTAAGTGCTCTCTTTGCTGGCTTCGTTTTCAGAGATGAGCCTGGTTTATGGATGGTCTGAAACAAATGAAGCGAGAGGGAGATGGCTAGAGAACCAGTGGTGGAAATCTTGCGCTGAGACTCACCAGCTGAGACTGACCAGCTGTAGCATAAATATTTCTTTTCAACTCCTATGCTATTGCTGTGCAGGAGGCAAAGAGACGATTATTTTTCTCCACCACAGTATCCGCAACATCTAAGACAGCAGATTTGATCTGTGTGACAGAGAGTCTGGTACATTTGGATGGTTTCTGCTCGGTAGCTGGTCTGAGTCCCTCCTGTTGTGAGGAAATTGTTTGCTATTCTGCAGACAAGACTGATCAGATTAGGGATAGGCTGTTTGCTTTTATGGTGATTGAGCCTGGTCTTGAGGGAACAAAGGCCTTGTCTTCTCTGCTGGAGTTTCAGCCAGTAATACTCCCTGAGGTACTGGAAGTGTTGGGAGAACTTTGTCCTGCAACCTGTCATTTGGATTCACGTCCTTCCTTGCTGGGGAAGGCTAGTGAGGAAGAGCGGATCTCCTTATTTGTGGAGATTGTCAGCACCTTTTTTAGAGAGGGCAGGCTGCCTATTGTTTTGGAGGAAACAGGAGTGCAGCCTTTGCTCAAGAAGTCATCACGGTGTGCTGACAATCTTGCTAATTATCAACAAGTATCACATCTTTCCTTTCTAGGTAGGATGGTGGGAAGGTTGTGACAAGACAATTCTCACCATGTCTAGATGCCTGTGATCTCCTTGACCCTTGTCAATCTGGGTATTGACCTGGCTATGACACAAAGACTGCCCTGGTGCACTGGTCAGTGATCTCCTGGCGACGGATGAAAACCCGGATTCTATGCTGGTATCATTAGATCTATCAGCTGCCTTTAATATGGTTGATCATGAAGTGCTGCTGACTTGCCTGAGGACCTGTTGAGAATGCACCAGGCCACTTTTCAGTGTTTTGTTCTCTTCTCTCAGCAGACAGTTGTGGACAATAGCTTCTCTTCCTGAGGAGCTCGGTGGGGTGCTGCAGGGTGGCATTCTGTCACCTCTCTTGTTCAACATGCATAAAAGGCCACTAGGAACATTGTAAGGGGGCATGGGGCTCAGTGTTTTCAGTATGCCGATGACTCCCAACTGTATGTCTCTACCTTGTCTCATTTGGAACCATGCCATTCAGCACCTCAATCACTGTTTCAGAGCAAGCTGTCTGGAGCTCAACCCAGATCATACTGAGGTGATGAAGGTGGGTTGGGGGATGTCGCTGGAGAACTGGGAGGAGGTAATATCAACCCCTTCCACTGGAGCAGTATGTCTGCCATTAGTTGATAGTATTCACACCTTAGGAGTGATTCTACGGCCCATGCTGCTGTTTGACGATCATGTTACAGCCATGACCCAGTTTGCGTCTAGCTAGGAGGTTGCAGCCTTTTCTTTCAGACACAGACCTTGCCACTGTTATCTGTGCTTTTTGTCACCTCAAGATCAGACAACGACAATGCACTCTACATGGGGCTACACCTTAAAACTATTTGGAGACTGAAGCTGGTGTAGAATGCAGTGGCTTGCTTATTGAACAGGACATTTCACTGGGGGCTCATGGCCATAGTGATCCAGGATCTGTGCTGGCTGCCCATGTGTCTCTGGGTGGAGTTTAAGGTGTTGGTTATGACCTATAAAACCCTACATGGCTTGGAGCTGGCCTACCTGAGGGACTGGACTCCATGCTATACTGCCACAGCTGTGGTTAACAGGAGCACTCAGACTGGATCCAGCTCATTATAAAAGAGAGGGGAGCTGTTGGCAGGATGTTCTGTCAGCTCTGAGAACTCTGAAACTTGCTCCCTCCTGGTCTGAAATAGCAACATTTGGTGGCTTTCCAGGCATGCTGCAAAAGACATCTGTTTGATGTGCTTCTGGAGAAGGCTGTGGATATGCTTCAGAGATGATGAAGGTAGTAGGTGGCTGGCTGGCCAGCCAAATTCCTGCAGAACTGATTTTAATGGTGCTGAGGTATAATATAATTGTACGGCTGTATCATTAATTATGTTAGGGTGCCTAGACCTTTGGTTAGACATCTTTATTATTTTAAATCTAAGTAAAAAATATATTAAAATATACAAAACACAAAGGACCAATCCCTTAGGACCATATATTGATGACCTGGTAAAATGTTGGATAGTGAAAGACAAAAACATTTTGTTGGTACTCAATAAATTAGTATTAATAATAATTAGTAACAAAATCCCTATCTAGACCAGAGATCTGTGGCATTATTTTGCCTACTAAATGTCATCATACCAGGAAAATGTTTTTATTACTATTAAGTACCCAGATGATACCAAGCTAGGTGATCGAGAGACACTAAGTAAATAACACAAGCCAAGGAAAGTTCATCAGGAAAAGGCATGGCTTCTTCCTTAAAGTTCTTAACTCCAATGATATGTATTTCAGCATAGAGTCTCCAATCAAACTTCACACCACTATGGGTGAATACAACAGCAACTCATACCAAGTCTCTCAAAAACCCACTGCAGAGTAAACAAATGTTATATAATTCTTCAAAAGTCTTTCCATCTTATAGAGGTATGTGTTTTTTTTTTAAAAAAAACAATATAAACAATGGCATTTTACAACAGAATGAAATGTGGTCCACAGCTGGGACAGGTGCTGTGTTTTTCCAAGCTGTTATCAGTGATATTCCACGATTGGATATGGACAATTTGACAGAGAAGGAGAGCATATCTTTTTCTGCATTATTCAAATACTTCAGATGCTTGGCCCAAATACAAAAGTGACACACTACAAAAACATCTGCAGCTGCAGGAGCAATCAAACTATTGCAATATTTTCATTAGACTGACCATTTCAGCACAAATCATAGGGGTTTTATTTATAGCCTTTCTATACAGTGTTCTCTTATGATAACAAAACTGAAAAACTGGAGAAAATTTCCTATGACTCCTGAAAGCCGTGGCTTACCTGGCTCCACTTCATGCCATCCACTTGACTGACTGCCACTTCCTGGAGAGCGCCCTTGGCTTGTATAAAATGGCTCTTCACCAGGACTGTCCATTTCATCCTCCACAGATTTGAGGCGTTTTGTAGAGCTGAAACAGCAAAACATACAATACTGTATATGCTGAAAGGATACAAAGGTATTTCTCTATTGGTATATTTCTCGGTAGCATGGGAAGAGACCAACAGGGTTAAGTTTAGTGACATTGAAACTGACAGAGTTAAGGCATTGACTTGGGAGAGGTTCCTGTTCTATTCACTCTTCCCCACAAAGCTGAATCAATGTACCTCAGTCCTGATCTACTTTTTTCAGACTTGAGGCTGCCTTACACTAGAATTGTCAAACTTTCTGAACTGTGCCAAGCTCCATGCTGATTTTGTGACACACAACAACCTCCAATAAAGACTAAGCTGAGATCACCAAACTCATTCCAAACTGGAACCAAAGATATTTTAAAATTTAGATTTTCACAGGTGGAAGGCTAGGACCTTATGGAAAGCATGCTGAAGTCAACAGAACGACTCCCATTGACTTCAGTGGGTTTTGTACCATTAATTCACTGTGTCACCAGCTATCAAATAGTTAATATTAAACAGATATGGTACTGACAGGCAGACCCTCATTTAAACTACCTTGTTTTCTCCTTATCTTACTGTGAATTCCATATACTCCCTTTGTATGCATTTTTTATATTTTCAATGCTTTCTTTTCCTAAAGAAAAATCCAATGGCAGCAAACCCAGCTTCATGGTAACCCTACAATAATAAGCACATGAGTGATGGCAAAAGATGGAAAAGATATTTCAGTTTTACATTGTCACAGGTTATTTTAAACAAGAATAAAAATTTTACCCTGTATCTAATTTGTGCAATGCCTGATGTAGAACATAGTCTTTGGCTGCCGCCACACGTTTTTTAAAAAAAAGAACAAAAAGCTTGCTGACTAATGCCAACACTGAAAGGCTCCCACACAACACTTACCATATACAATACCTCCCCCACAATCCAACCCAGACGAAAGGCTGAGAGATGGGAGAATCCTGACACTGTGCTCTGAAGGTCAACTGACACAAAGTGTGGCAGAGTGGTAGGGAAATGAATTCCAGTTCCAAGGGCCCACAATCTTGGCTAAGTTTGGAATAATGAGATGTACAGAATGCTCTAGAATATTATTGTGAATTTGTCCTAACACATTTTTCTAGAACTTATGTCTATTGCCAGCTCTTTATTCTGTGGGGTCAATTCCACCAGCAGTGTGTAAGGGATTCAAGAAAAGGCCTACCTGCCTAAATGTCCCATAGGTAAACAAGAATAGACTCCTTTGTGTATCAGGGATGTACTTCAATGGATATAAAACATTCCATTGGCATAATTCCCATTGAGCTAAATCTTCCAGCCTTCACTCAGGCAAGACTCACTTTAACTTCACCCTTAGTTCTGCCTGAGTAAGAGCTGCAGGGTTTGGGAGTTCTGTATGCAAAGCTGAAGGGAGACAATGTTTTATGGTATGTATGGAATGCAGGTTGTACCATAACTTATTTAAAAGAATCGGTATGTGTCGGTTGGGGAAATTCTATGTGTACAATACAATTACTGCCTGATAGAGCCACTGAGTCTGTGTATTTAAGGAATACTTTTTTTCTAACTGGGAACAACCTAATGAGAGAAAAACAAACATATTACTGAGTTATTAACTACTGGTGATGTTTATAATTAGCTCCTTATCAGTGCTAGCTATTTGCAGAAGAATAGAAGAGTGACAACTGAGCTTTTAAGTAACACTAATAACCTGCCTTTTTCACTCCTGGAGTCACAACAAAACTCTTCCTGGGAGTGATTCTAATGATGAGCACTGCACATACAGTATGCCAAACACATGTGAAAAAACTAACAGCACAAACTTTTAAATTGATTACTGCCACATGTAATGAGAACCGTATTTGCTAAGCTTCAGAATGCTGACTGAGCTCATGTGTACAGAATGTTCTTTCAATCACTGCGAACTATAAGCTAAAAGAAAATGAGTACTTGTGGCACCTTAGAGACTAACAAATAAGCTAAAAGTTATTGCTAGGAGACTCTACATACTTTTGTAGAAAAAAAAAACAGCTACATTCAAAAGATATGTTTTTTTTTAACGGTGTGCTTGCTTTTTGCAAAGCTGGTGGCGCTGCAGACTGAGATCAGAACCTAAAAGAACTCCAGGAAGAAGTTAGAATTTCTTGTCATGTCTTCGAAATAACTGATCATTTTGGCTGGCGGACAAACAAAAATCAATCTGGTTCCTTAACAGTGTTCAAGATGGCAATGGTGACTAGGCTTATTTATAAATTCAATCTCATGTATGGTTAAAGTAAAAAGACAGAGTAAAAAATATCCTTGTCTGCTAGTTTGCACCTAAGATATGCAATTGGACTTGACAGTAGCCTGCATCAAAAATTCAGTTGCTTCATTAAATCACAAAATTCTTAAAGCCACACCAAAATGTGAATGAATTAAAGCCAGGTCTTCAACACTATGTTAGTTTCACAGCTAACACTTTTATGTATACACAATCCATGTAAGTTTTATCTAAAGTCTGGTGTCCAGTCTCTTTTCCTTCTATGCAATGCCGACAAGAAATATCTCCATGAAAAATACTCAGTGACATTATCATAGGAGGACATTATGTTTCATTATGGTCCTGATTCTCCTCTCACTTATACCAATGCAACTCTACTGATTTCAATGGAATTACCTGTGATTCTAAACAAGGTAAGTGAGAAAAGAATCAGGGCCTGTGTGTCTCTCTGCAGCTTTTTTCAAAGCTGGACCTTAAGTATAGAGCTTTAATATAGATTGAGATAGACACTCAGATTTGTGATTCTGAAAAGACTCACCATCCTGTCCCCACCAGAACACATCAAACAATGTAAGTACAAAACAATAATTTCCATATGAGCATTAATCGTAATCTGGGTTTCACAAGTAACCCAATAGCATACACATATCAAATTACCTGGTAGAGGATGTGCTAGGTAAAGACCTCCTCATTGCTCCTGGGCTCATGCTATAGTATGAAGAACTTTCCAAATCTGAGAGGGAGAAATTTGGGCCTGTTCCTGCAGCTATTGGTGCTAGGGAAACAAAAAAAATTAAAGTCAGTAAGTCATGTGAATAAGGACTCAATTATATATCAACACCCAAAGTGAACTGACACTGTAATCAGGAACATTTTACCACTATATGATGCCCTCGGGGGCAGGAAGTGTCTTTTTTGGTATGTTTGTACAACGCCTCGCACAATGCAGTCCTGGTCCCCACCTAGGACTCCTAAGTACTCCAGTAATAAAAATAAATAATAATAATCATATAATATAATAAAGACATTCCTATTTTCTTTTCAGGTCAGTCTTTTCTGTACTGGCAATTCTCATTGTTTGCAGCAAGAATCTTGGATTCCTTTAAGAAACTGCTGCCATATTGTAATCTTCTTAATAACATCTCTTGGAACTTACTTCCTTATTAGGCACAGTGCTGAGTAGTGGACGTGTTGCGCCATCCCTACAATATGCCTGGCCCAGTCTACGAGCTTCTGTAGACGGGGAAGGGGCACTGGTGCCACCTCTTCCCAAGACCTTTGGGAATGCTGTGTGCACCCAGATGTACATAGAGGCTACAGTCTCTATACTCCTGGAGCATAGGAGCTATGACTGACCAAGACCCCTAAGGGAAGTATGCCAGGGGCTGAGACTCCTTGTGTTCCTCTCTGGCTCTGGGCCGAGGCCAGAGACAATTTGCCTCATTATATTATTATCCAACAAACGTTTTCTATTGTTCTTTATTCCCACAAGCATGCATGGTTTTCTGTAAGGATCACCACTGCTATAACTCACCTGACTTTAATACGCTTGCCTAGAGTACAGTTTTTACACTAAGGTATTATGAGAGTTCCTTTTCCAAAAGTTTACAGGCATAGGGCTCTGAACTCCCATGTGTTGAGCAATATGGAACAAATGAGAATGTTTTAACTAATATAAAACTGATCCGGCAAGGTCTTCCTCAATGAAATCCACTGCATGTGATATGATACCATGCCCACTGTCACCATTCCAGTGCCCTGACCTTTACAGGACATTCTGTTTTATGGACCAAGATTGATTGTCTGTCCCATTCCACAATCTGATTAAAATTACCCTGTTGCCCAAGATAAATCTGTTTGGCACAGGATATATGATCTGAAAACTCTGATTCACAGGGATTTTCCTGGTGCCACACAATGATACTGAGCCAAATTTACTCTTGTGTCAGTTGGAACAACTCTACTGAAATCAATAGACCTGTGCTTGCTCCTACCGGGGAGGAACTGAGCCCAATATTAAACACATGAAATATTTCACTCTTGTGGGCATCAGTGAGGAAATCAAGATTGGATGATTCAGGTACCTTGCACCAATAACCTGGCATACCAAGGGTGAAATACGGGACCAAATGAAGCCACTGGGAGTTCTGCCTTTGATTTCAATAGAGTCAGGATTTCACCCCAAGTTTTAGGGAAGAAGCACTGCTGGATTTGACAGATGAAGAATATAGCTTTGCAGCTGCCTCATTCTCCTCACAATTAAACTGGCAATCTAGGGCAAAGATCTTTTAAGAAAGTAGATCAACATTGAGACAGACTGGGAATGACATGGACAGCAAGTAACAGATTTTTAAAAGCGTAGGGTGGAAAGCACACAATGCTATTAAAACTTAAGAAAATCTGGAACGATCATTAAAAGGGATTAATTTGGGAAGTAATTTACGGCAAGAACACAAACTCCTTTGTTGTGTTCCTTTAACTAAAATATGTTTCCTGTGCACTGGCTGTATGAGAGGGCGGGCGTTTTTTTTAAAGAAAAATTAAATATAGTAAAACTCATTTTATTAAATTGTGCTTTCTGCTAGAGTTTCCTGACAGCAGCTAGAAGAGGCTGTAAAACCGACAAATTTGCATGGAAAAAAGAAACCAGTGTAAGTAATTTGTGTAAAAGGTAACATGGGCATGGACTGCTATAATTCAGACACCCTGCAGATAGCAGACCGCTGCAGTATGAGCAGTTATGGGTTAGAAAAATGACCACACTGCAGTCAGTCTGACGTGAATGGAAATCAATCATACAGGTACTCTCTGCAGCATCTACTCCACAGTCTTCAGCAATTCCTTTGCCAAGCAGATTTGTGCTCTTTAAACCCCTTTGTTGATCAATTCCCCTGTACCCCAGACCTAACAAAGCCCAACTTAGTGGTTAATAATAATATTTTCCAAACAGGTATATAAAAAGGCAGGCACTAAATTAAAGCACCATTTCTTTTCAAGGGGCAATGAATTTCCCCGCTATTGTAAGTTTTACTGAGCAGTTGTATTTCAGATAGAGATGGAGGAAAATTTTGTGTTCTAAAACTGACTCTGCTCCCGTTCATCAGCCCCCAAAATCTAGCGCATTACTGGCCAAATTCTTGAATTTTCCTTATGTGAAACTAAAAAGTTCTTCCACTTCTCAACATGGTGCACGTAGCCTGAAAAGATGTGGAGTGGGATGGGGGTAAAGCTAGTAACATAAAAATTAGCCACAAGATAGAAAGGATTTAAATAGGTAACCTCTAGCTTCCTCCATATTTAACAGTAATAGGGTTTTCCTGCCAGGTCCTCGAACACTCTGCAGTACTGAGGGGAGCTGAGCTGAGAGGATTCAGGATGAAAGGTAAAAAGACAAGATCCATCCCTCTTAAACAATAAAATGGTCAAAGGACAGAACATTTATTAAAGCAGTTGAGTATTAAAAGCATTTAAAAGGTTCATGGCTGTGCCTTATTTAAAAGGCCTATGGCAGTTCTCACAATGACATTCATACTAGAGACAACCCAAGGTCACTAAACTTAGTAATGCTATAAGGGTAAACTTTCCATAAAGGGGAACTGTTCTGGAATCATACTCTGTGTAGTAGGAAGTTATCTTTCAATAAAGGGTATCTATGTTTTCTTTTCCCAGTTAGTTTGCTCTTCAAACAACATTTTACTGTAGACAAAGTGAGGAAAATTTCAGTGTACAGACCCCATCCAGAGGCTGGCGGAGAAGGGGTTAACTCTCTTTCTCTGGGTAGGGGGGATCCGTCTCTTCCTCTCTGGAATTTGGTTGAAGTGATTCATGCTTTATATCCCTGTTATAGACTTAGCTGAATCGAGTCACACTTCATAACACTTTACACTGGACTTTGGCTGAGGGAACTCTGTTGTGTTTTATTTGGACCTTCTATTTACTTTTCTATTTTGCAACACAACATGTTGCAAAGGTGCATAAACTTAATCTAGCCTAGCCATGCAAACCCTTCCTTGCTCCAAATGGCCCCTCTCACTGCCTGAATACACTATCCCTCTTCTATTAGCCCTGAATACTGATGGAAAGACAGAATCCCACTTCTGTCTGTTTGTAGGATTCCCTATCAACACTCCAGCACCAGAGAGAAAACAGGATTAAAGAGCTCTAAATTGTGGCAAAACTCTGTCTAAATTGAGCTTCTTCATTTTAGCATATGATCATCCAACATGTGATCACTCTCCCCACCTGTACCTCAGCCCAACGTCCCAAAATAAGAACATGCTTTGGCACTGTCAGCATAAGTGTGGAGATCATTCTGTTCTATAATACAAAGCCAGCCCTTTATTACACCAAAGTATACATAAATTGAAAGTTAAGATTATACCAGCCACACTGAAAATATGCTGCTTTCCCCACCTAAGAGATGCTCCTCAGAAAAATGACACCAAAATAGCTCAAGAACACGTCCCAAGCAGGAGATATAGGTTGAAAATTTCAACTGAGCTTCCACACAATACACACCCCACCCACATGCCTGCATCAAGATGTCATTTGACACAGAGCTCTGACCCCAGTGAGGGAGGAGTAAAATGGTTTATTGGATAGAAATCTGGCCTTTCATTTAAAACTTCGTTTGACTGATGTGTGCGGAGCCTGTAAGTGAACTAACTGATGCAGCCTCAGCTAATTTCAGCTGACAGGGTGGTCTCCATCACAAAACTCCTACGCACGCAGGATACATTTCAATCACTCTGAAGGATCAGAATGAGGGTTAGAATGAGTTTGCCTGAAAGACTGGAACAACCCTCACTGTAGGCCGATCATTCCATGTTAAACTGGGGAGGCAAGCGGGGAGCTGCTTCTCTTTGACCACCTGCATGGTAGCTCTGCTCTGGATAAAGCGCAGCTCTGAGGAAAACTCCCACTGCTGCCAATCTATTCCCCTTGCTGCCAGTTTATTAGCTCAAATAGTCACCCGAAATGTCAAGAAAAATAACAGAAAAATTAGCAAAAAACCCTCTGACTTAATTCAATTTGAATATTTATTTTGGAAATTTACTGAATTAAAGTACAGGAAACCCACTAAATAAAACCAGCCAAGCTGGCAGTCGTCTTCCTTTTAAAATGGCACTGTCTTTTAGTTGTTAAGATATATTTAATTTCTCTTTTTTCATTTTTTATTTATTTATTTTTACAAAGATATTTGGGTAAAACTAGGATCAAGACATGTCTAACACTGCAGCAAAGTGACAATGTACATAAGGCTAAACGTATTATACCCCAGGAAGAAACATGACGTTTAACTAATACACTTCTTCATATACTGTGGCTTAACAACCAGAGGAAAACACACTATCTTTCTGACTCAGCGAGGAAAGGGTAGCTCGAATTTGTTGCATGGCCTTTGTCTCCTATGTACTGTACTGTTAGGTTCAAAGAGGTTTGCCGAATACCACTGATATGAAATGTGTGATGTTCATTTTAAAATTACTAGTACAGCTTGCTATTGACCATCTAATTATGCTGAGTTCCATTTATAAACATAGCTAACCACTAAGTTTATGGAGACTTTTTGTGCTGCTTTAATAGGATATTGATCGAGAGCAAGGTTTGAGTGGACTGCCATTGAATTGTGTAATGGCATACAAAAAGCAAGGTCACGGCAACTGTTCATTCTATGCCTGCAGTCTATTTTTTATTATACTCTTTTTTTCTCTCCCTCTTATACCCAATCCCAAATGCTATGTTTGGGATAGCAATGCTTGGCTAAGGAATACA